GGCAGGCTTAGTGTAATACGTGAATTGAGCTGCTTTTGTGCCATTGTCTCATAGTGCCGTAATGACCGTATGAATAGCTTAAAGAGCTCGGGTGCTACCCAGCCATGTGACATGTCACAGCGTAAAACATTTGCACAAATCACCTCTTTTTAATGCCTTTGGAAGTGCAGCATTAGGCTCACGAAAAGCAGAGAGATAAATGTGTGAAAGATTATTTTGCTGAAGTGGGGTTATTGCCCTCAAAGCCCACTGCTGTGACTTCTTTCTTCCTTTCAACAGGCATCCCCCCCCAACCCTCTCGCCCCCCGTGTATAAATTTCTCAGGAATAAAGACCCTGATAGCACTCTACGGATTTGGATGAAATCTGCTTTTTCACTTGCTTTTTATGTTATTGTTATGGTTTGCAGTCAGGTCTGATCTTATTAGAAGTGCATGAACGTGTCATGTGATGGATAGTACAGTGTTGTCCTACTTATTTCAATGCAGATGTGTTCCATAATCTTTTAAAGACGTTTTATATCTCACAGTCGCCAACACCAAACTGATCATCAGTAGCTTTGTTTCCCTCCATCTATTTTTGAATATCGCATAAAAAATGTGTAATGGAAACGCCAAAGATGGAATTTATACTTTTTATCCAATAACCCTTGTCCACTGTTCACATTTACTACCCTTTTGTTATGTTCGGGATAAAATCATCTACTCAATTAAACTGCTGTAAAAGTGCATAGAATAATTATTTTTTGAAAATTTTTGGCATAAATCTGTTAATCAACCTCAGGCCTGATAAAAACTACTTCGTTGTTTAAAAGATTTAATTGCCAAGTTTACAAATAATGTCACTGATTTGCTGAAAAAGCACACAAAACGGCGTATTTTCAGTGTAAAAAGTAAATGTGGGCTGTATTTTATTTTATTTTTTACATTTTTCACAGTCTTGGACATGTGCAAGATTAGTAACAACATTGGCTTTGATACATTGTTAGATTTTTTTCTCCCTAATTTATTGTTGGTGGCTGTTTTTGCCCCATTGATTTTCATTATATGCATTTGATGGTGCATAAATACACAGTTTTTGTTTTTATTTACATCATGTAGTTCTGAGAGATATGCATATTTAGATTTTTTTTTTTAGACACATCAAGGTGTGCGTAAAGGTCACTCTCACACTCTTAATGCTTACTCACACTATGCTATCCGAAACGTGCCTAGGCCCGTTTCCCGCCCGGTTGAAAGAGGTGGGCCTGAGCGCGGTTTACTTGGGCTTTGGCGTGGTACGATTGTAGTGTAAGTGCAAAACGCGCCAAAGCCTGAAACTGAAAGCGATACGTGACTTTATGGGACTGTTTCGTATGGATTTATTAACCATTCTTACTGTTCAGTGAAAGCAAACTGCCGTAGTTTATTAAAGACGCAAACGCCTATCTAAAGAGGGTGATAGTGATGATCAACTGTAAAAATTCCCAACAGGGAAAACCAGCAACAATCAGAAATGCATGATTATATGGTGTCCATGTTTTGTAATCAAAAAAGTGTGGTTATAATGGAAGTCAACGAGGCAATCAGCCACCAACAGTAAATTAAGAAAAAAAAAAAACATTTATCAAAAACAATGCATCAAAGACAGTGTTTTTTCGCATGTCCAAGACTTAGAGTTTAAAGATTAAAGAGTTAAAATCTTGTAATTTTCTAAACAATTTAGTAGTTTTGATTAGGACTGAGAATGGTTAACAGATTTAAAAAAATGAAAAACTATAGATCTGATGTGTTTTTACAGCAGTTTAAGTTAGTGGATGTTTTTATTATGAACATACCAAAAGAGTAGTAAATTTGGCCAGAGTGTATTGTTGAGTTTTTTATTTTTATTTTTTCAAACCATTTTCTCAAATTTTTTGTCAGAATAAGATTTGTCACCACAAGTCATTCTACTAGCCGAAACACAGAAAAAAGTTATGACCAAATTAAGACACAATATCACCCCAGAGTTGATGAAAACATCTCCAACAGTACAAGGGTTAAGAAAAAATGTGATTAAACTACGATGGAAACACATTTATCAAATAATTTTTGTCACGTGATTTTGTTCTATTAGATCGTGTGATTGAAAAATGTGTGATGGAACAGCATTGATGGACAAACATGTTGTTTCGATAATTCTAAAATCCCTTAGTCAAAGTCCATCATCAAAGTGGTTTGGTATTATTATTTCCCATAAACAGTCCCATAAAAAAGTCTTAAGCAGCTGCGTTTCATTGTGATTTGTCTTCCTCTTCTGAGGCGCAAGTAATTTATTATACAGTATACTGTGAGAAAAAAGGGCCACAGTGGCTCCTACCACAGCAAATTCCATTTTTCTTTTAGATATTTGGTGCCAGTTTATCAGGAAGTGACAGTTTTGTTCACTTTGGCTACATTTACACTGCCAAACTTGACGGTCAATTTCGATTTTGTGACTGTATCCTATCATTTTCTTTTCTTTTTTTTTTTTTAATGACCCGCTTACATCATCTTTCAGTGCTTCCCACAGGTTTGAAACATACATGCGGTTTAAGCCAGATTGAAACGCACCTTTTACTCACGGCACATGGTTAACTACATGACTACATGCGACAAAAAAAGTGATTTTTAACAATATTTTAATTTATTCAATTTATTAATTGTTTCTTTTCAGTGGATTGAAGTTTTTTTTAAAGACATTAATAAAATAAAATAAAATAAAAAGATGAAAATAATAAGAAAAATCCACTATTTGTTTTACTTTTATTCTATTCAGGATCCATGTGCACCCACTGACAAGTCAAATCTGCTTCTGACTTTTTCTACAGTTATGCCAAAGCATGCTATATATGTATAAAATATGTAATATATCAACATCATTAAAGAAGTATACAGCAAATGAGAAATAAATGACAAAAACGACTTAAAACATCTATGGAATAAAAATCTGTAAAAAAAAAAAAAGTGTTTTTTTTTTTAATAAGGCAAATTAGTTAACTAACCATTTCTAACATTGTACAAACATTTTGCAGCCTGTTTAGATGTAATTTCGTCCTCTCTGAGTAAATAGAAAAGTTCATCTGAGTCGTTTAGATCAAATAATTAATTCTATAATGTTTCACTTGCTCATGTGGCTGTACACGTGCTGTCAGCTGCGAAGCCATGTGACAGTAAACAGGCTTGAAATAAAAATGACAACGGCTTAGAAAGCGAAACCAAAATATTCAGAGATTTAGAAACCCCGGACGAACATTTTTAAGTCCCAAAAACGCACATCTCTGTAGATCTCTGCAGAGCATGTGATTGTCTGTGAGAGTGTTGACAGTTCTCTCACACATACAACGAGAAGAAACGTGTAGGGTAAGAGGAGATTCTTAATCGTTAATCGATCACGGATGTTTGGCTATTGGACGGATACAAAAAATTGCGAAAGGATGATGATAATAATAAAAAATGTCACCAAATATACTTGGGCGACCGTTAATATACCTGGGCGACCCGCCCAAGTAAAGCCTGTGTGTGGGAAGCACTGTCTTTAAAAGTGATTCGTATCCGATGTCTGTATTTACACACATGCACGTGCAACAAAAGATCAATGACCTGTAAAACAATTGCCGACTGACAGCTGTGATAATAAAAGAGTGCTCTTTTCTTGATTCTTATATATAAATTGTTCGAAGGGTTAAATTTTTCATTTTAGCAAGCTGTTTTGCTCTAGTTTATGACAGAAAAGTTCTCAATTGGCCATGTTCTTTCCATTGTTTTTAATGACGTGCGTCTCGCATTGACATGGAGAAAATCGATTCATATCAGATAAATTTCCACATATAAACGAGATCAGAGTCTGATCCGAGTAAATCAGAATCTGTTTTTTTTTTTTTCCTGCTTACAAGTACGTGGGCTATATCACAGTCTGTGCCACATGGAAGAAAAAAATCTGAATTGGGTCACTTGAAGCATGCAGTGTAAATGCAGCCTTTGACTCATTGGATAGAAGCTGTGCTTTATTTGCAAATGTTTTATGTGATATTCCAGTTCAGTCTAATTCGCATCAGCAAATTGAAACATAGCTACTGCTGCTAAACAAACCCAGCTTTAGCATGTTTTCACCTCCATGGAAACACATTCATTTAGCGCTGGCGTTCATCCATTTTCACAGCTGGATATTTGCTGAGTCCATTCAGCTGAAGTGTCTCACTCGAGGGTCGTACTGTGCCACTTGAGACGCAACTAAGCAACCTGCCGATTTGATTGTTTAGCTCGGCCCCTGACGTTTGAGTATTTCAAGCCTTGTGTGTGAATATGATTCATTCATTATACAGGACGTAAAACCCAATGGCGATTCTAAGCCAAACTTAGCCTGACCATCGCTCATCTTTCCCCGCATCTTTTGTTTGATCTGGGAAAAGCTTTGTGATAGAGGTTTGCTAGTGAGAAAGATGCGGTGTGTGTGTGTGTAAAACTGTAAGGTTTTGTTTCACAGACAGTGATTCACCCCTACTGAACAGTAAAGTCATCCAAAAGGCCGCAGAGTGTACAGCGACTTCTGCCAGAGTTGGATTTCATGTCCTTTTTATTGCTTTTGGGAAACACTATTGGCTGTAAAATGTTTACGGTCATCCATTGCTCTGGCTGTAGATCAGGGATCCACTTCTCCGACTAACCCTTCAGCATGAAACAACATCTCTCACAGCATCTTACTTCAATTAAACCACTATTGAACTTCTATTGAACTGTCAGACTGGAAGAAACTGACCTCATGTCTCCCATGCCGCTCCTAAATACCACCAATGGAGCTATCTTGAGCCATTTGATGAAAATTGAGTCACATATACATGCTTTTTTTCCACTATTTTGAGCTTGTGTTCAAAGGGAAATATGCTAAAGGCCGTTATTGTATGGCTTTTTAACTTTATGTATCATTATACCATAAATGTTTGCCCGGTCCAATTAATAATAATGCTTTTCCCATTTATCTCTGTGTATCTGTCCCTTCATGAAGACCCTACCTCTTTGGGGCCGGATGTTTTTCCATTAAAACTCCATGGTGAGTTTTTCCAATTCACTCCCAGCATGCTTTGTCCTCGCTTCAGCAAAACGACTGCGTTCATTCCATCTTTCATTCGTTTCCAAGAATTTTTTTCTGTTTTTCTTTTTAGTTTATTCTAGCACGCAGTGGGAAGAACCAAGAGATATGCTTTTTTGTTGTTCTGTTTTTGTATGTGGATTTGCTGTTTGGCTTTTTGTATTTTTGTTTAACCTAATTTGATTTAATCAAAATTGTTGCCTGTTGATATTCTATACAGAAAGGTGAATTGTAATTGCTGGTGGTCATGTATAAACACTTACATAAGACATCAGTTTGGCGTTTAAAGTTAGTCTATGTCATTGAATTCATGGGAGAGAGAAAAGAGTTTTTCTTTTAGAGCACATTGCAAAATATTGTGTTTTGCTACGTTTCACAACATCAGAGCTCTGTTTGTCAGTCCATCCCGTGGTTTAATCGGACTTTCCCTTCAAAGTGGTCGTTCCTTTCCTGCTCTGTTTTTTTCCCAAACAGACGACTGAGGTTGTTTATTCAAAAATGCCTTTGTGTTCGCATTCACATTGCCATCGTTATGATTTTATTGGCTGGTGACATTTTGAATAAGGGTGAAAAAATGATTGGTGCACCGCGCGCAGCTCTCGCCGATGGTTGAGTCAGATGTGTGCAATGCGGTTGCAACCATTCATCTTCTTCACCCTTTAATTTGATGTGACAATTTTATTTCGACAATGCATAATCACTGGCTTGAGTCTATAAGATGAAAAACACAGATATTTTTATTAGATGCAAACTCAGAAATTTGCTTTGCTATCACAAGAGAGTGATTATTATCGATAACAACACCCTTTCTCATCTTAAATTTTTTTGATTCACTTTAAATGTTGTGTTATACTTTTTATTATGACTATACTGTACTATACATTTTAAAATATGCGTATTTGCACATTTTCTGTCTTAGTTTTTCCCAGGCTCAGCTTCAAATATTAAATCTCCGCAAAATGGTCTTCCCCATGTCCTTCACCTCCTAAAATGAATGAATCACATGTGCCGCTGTCCTTCCTCTGGCTTGGGTTTCAGCTTTTGTTGTGGTATCCTCACATACGTTTTAATTAGATCTTTTTCCTGCGCTGCTGTACTGTGATCTCAGAGGACGTATGCATTTCAAAGCCTCATCATTAACATGATAAATCTTAATATTCCCCATAGCTTCCTTTTGACTGGGCTAGGCACATTAATTCGGCACACAACTGGAGCTCCACTTTTCATCGGAAACATATGATTGATTTAGATGTTGTATTAAATGTTAATTAGTTTTTCCTTTTAGAGAAGTGAACAGTGTGCTTAATATCACATGGATGTATTAGGGGAATCATCAAGTGTTCCAAAACAAAACACTCCCACGCATGGTAGGGAAAAAAAAGATGGGAAATTGCAGCTCAAATATGAATGGCAGAACATAAGATTTCATCATTAACAGCTTAGGAGATTGATTAAATCATGCAAAATGCAAGCTTTTTTTTAGCTTTATTGGTTCTTGAACTCTTTTTCTTGTTCCTTTTCTACATTATATATAAAAACATGTAATGAAGAGTATATTCTGATGTTTTAAATTATATTTAATGCAGTTTCATGGAGAAAATGCACAGTTGCCTGAGCTAAAAAAAAAGAAACTCACAAAAGTCTGTTATACTCTGTAAATGTGAATGAAAGTGTGTTAGCATCACAAATCTCACAATCACTTGTAAATACCATAAACAGCTGCATTCACACCTGGGGAATGCATATTTTCCGGCATCTCTCTAAGGGAAAGCGAAATCATGCCGAATCAGGCACCTTCCTCAACTTTCTCCCAATGAGCTGGAACGCTGGAAATGGAGGGGAAAAGTTTCTGTTTCTCTTTTAGCGTTTGATGCCGGCCTCCCAAATGGCTGCCACAGTGTGTGTGGACCGTGGCCGTGTGCCCGAGCCGTGTCCGAGGAAAAGCTGCTGTGAGATAATAAATGTGACGTTGAGAGATATGTCTGCATTTTTTGAGACCCTTTCATGAGCGCTGTAACACGGGCCCTGTTGCCTGATATACACCGACCATATGGTCAGCTTGTCATGTCAAGTCTCCCGATAAGTTCAAGTGAGATCCATGCTCATTTTTTGCAATTTTAAAGCAAGCCGTCGCATTTGTTTGAAAACAAATGGGGGCCGCCTCCATTCCCCCCCATTTCGCCCCCTGATGGCGCCTTGTCTGTGGCCGGGACTGTAATGTGGCCAGGCTTTGATGGTGGACATCACAGATTGAATTATGCCCTTGAGGAAAAGCTATTAGCTCACGTCAAGAGTCCTCATATGTTAAATTAAAAGTGGAAATGACATGCAAGGAGTCTTTTCAGTGAATTAGTTAGAGAGAGAGGGGAAAAAACACTCTAGAAGCAGCAGGGGAAATGCCAATAGGGGGAAGACGAAATTGGCTTCTGTTTAGGAGCGTCTGTCTTCCCTTCTCCTCCATCTCACTAAATATGTTTATGTTTCATAATTTATTGATTTTCGGATACATTTTTGTGTAAGCCGCTCCCCATGCCAATATTTATTTAGAATAATCCGTTCGCTCAAATGGCCCGCTGAATCACTGCAGCTCGAGTCTTACAAGCCACTTTAAGTGAGACGCAGAAGAAACGAGTGATTTCAGATACAGACAAACCAGCTCCAGCGGTCGCTTCGAGGAAATTCAGATGTAGCGCTAGTGTAAAGTGCACTCAAATAAGAACATGTTGACCAAATCATCTGCTGACCGAAGCCTCTTCAAAAGAGCTCTTACCAAAGTTGGCCAAGCTTAGTCCGCCGCTAGCAGAGTTATGCCCGGCTTTTAGCTCAGACTGGCTCTTTGCAGTGTTCTTGGTCTCATCATCATTACTGGCATGACATTATATACCTTTTAAAGAATATTTCCAGATATATTATGCAAAGCACTCAGAAACAGATACAATTTCCTCTCGGATTTGTGGTGGAAAGCGTCAGTCTGTGATCTCAGAGGAATAAATGTTTAGTGAGTTTGGTTTTGGTATTAAAAACAGCTGTTCATTCATCCTTTGCACAGTGGTCCTTCTAGAAAGTCCTCTTCCAAACCTGAAAAAGCCAGCTCTTCACCTGCGTCCCAGACTGGAAAACTGCTTAACTCATTCACTTTCCTTGCTGCCTTGAACTCTGTGGTGGGCAGGAAGGATTTAAATGCATTTCTCTACGGTCAGTGATGGTCAGGCCAACGGAAGCAGCATTTGTAATGATTTCAAGTTATCAAAACGTCTGCTGTCGTCTTCTCTCCTCATTATCCCACTTGGGATTGCTAGTTTTATTTTAGGTAGAAAAAGGAATCATCTACTCTTCTCTTTACATCCTGTGGTGTCTTAAATGTGTTTGTTTGGTACAATTTTCCCCTGTACTACATTAGCTATGCTTCCATCCAACTTTGTGAATTAGACTTATGTACAAAACTGGAATATTGGATCAAAGATTTGCGAAAAAAGCACAGTTTCAATTCAATCGAAGTCGAAGAGAAGAAAATCGTCACTTCCTGATAAACAGATGAACAATATCAAAAAGAAAAATTCTATTTGCTTTGATTAAAGAAGCCACTGTGGCCCATTTTCTCATATATAAAATTATTCGAAGATAAAGACAAAGCACAAAAAATGCAAGGTGGCTTTTGCAGGTGCAAAACTGCTTTTTGGGAGCGCAGCCATTCAAGTAAAAATACCAAACAACTTTGATGATGGACTTTGGGAACTGATTTTAGAATGACCAAAACAATCCAGCAGGCACAGTATGTCAACATGATGTCAAATTGACATTGTACCCCAATATCGTGGGACATACTGTAGCATTTTGTTTGGAAATGAAAATCGGGTTGACGTCAGAACCCAACATCAGGCCGATGTTTTTGTCCAATATTGGACAGATGTTACGTGTTGGATTTTGTTTACCATACCTGATGAAAAGTCAGTATTACGTCAATATGAAGTTGGTTTAAGATGTTGGCTCGACATTGGATTTTGGTCACTTTCCAACACAACCTAAAACCAACTAAATATTAACGTCATTTAACGTAGTTATTGGACATCAAAATAACATTGTCTTTAGACGATGGCAACCTAAATATAATCTAATATTAACGTCTTATGACATTTTGAGTCTGCTAGAAAAATGTCAGATGTGCAATGTGGTTATTAATTGTGTTATCACACAATCTGTTAATCCACTTGTTAAGTTATGACGCATGGAATACTGTTTCTGGGTCCAAACCGCTACTCATTTGACTTGAAAAAATATTTGTTTATGGCCTCTTTTTAGTTATATTTTTATTATACTTCGGTGCACCATGATGTAGACAATTTGGTATCGGTGCAGTAATAGATCATAACCAGTTATTTTGCACTGACGTCATTTATATCATATGTGCTATGTCGCCGTAGCTTACTGTGGTGAGGGAGGCGAGCGCAAGTATTTACAATGCTCCAACTACTTAAAAATGCAGTAACTGTGTCACAGCGATACTTGTGGATACAGACACGAGCGCGTGTCTACAGAGCAAGTTTTCTCCACCGCGTCTATCATGGATCTGCTGTGATCGTCGCTGCCATTTAACAGTGTCCCTCATCGGTAAATAGTGCTAGCGCATAAGAGCCAATCTCAGCAATAATTATGTTACAAATATGTTTATAAATTTTAATAGAATTGCTGTGCTTTGAAGAAAATATAAAATTGTGTTTGGAAAGCATCGTCAATGCGCCATGATGCACCAAGATATCGAAATTTAACCGAATCAATGGCATGATAATTGTAACCAAACTGTGAGACAAGTGTAGGTTCACACCTCTACATATTACACATTAAAGTAAATTTCTTACAAGATGATGGTGTACACAACAGTCTCTGGACTTGCTGCTTGGATATACTGTATACTGTATATTACCATCAGGATTTTCTAAAGTATTACATCGCTTTGTAAATGTTTACTGTATTATTATTTTGTTGATTTATTTGTTGATTTTATTTTTTGTTTTTGTTTTTGAGCCTCCCCGTACAGCGTTTGAACCCAGTAGCTGCTTCACTTGACGTCAGTCTTAACAAGTGAATACACAATTACATACATTCTCTTTGCTGGAATTTAATCAGTAAATGTTTCCATTATAGTTTATGCACATTTTTTTCTTATCGGATAAAAAGTTTATCTTGCTCAGTTGTGCACATACTGTAAGTTTTCCAACATTTCAAAATACATGTGCATCTTGGCATTTCCATTTAAGCATTTTTTTATACTATATTCCAAAATGCGCATAATAAAAGGTGGATGGAACATAGCTTTCATGGCTGCTCCGGTCTAGGTGATATACTGACAAACCGCTCGTATCTCCTCATCAGCCATGTGTGTCACTCAGATGTTTAGTTATTCCTCTGTCCAACAGCAATACATTCGTGCCAATATCTCCCTGCCTTTCTTGACTTTGACTTTAGTCTTTCCCGACCAGCAGTCCTCGTCTGGTGTCGGCTAAACAAAGATGTCAGCATCACTCCTCGTCCTGAGAGTAATTTACGACTCGATGACAGTTTTAAGGGAAGTGACAGAGTGAGAGTGCAGCTCAGCAACAGGTCACTCAACACCTATTAGTGTAATGCAAGGCTGGAGGAGTCCCGGTTCAAACACTGGACAATTCATCCACATTAACTCCCAGTCCAGACTTCGCAGTCTACAACAATTTCATTACAATCGGCAGTTTTGTTTTGCAGTTATCTGCTCTTGTAATGCATAATGACTCAGGCTGTCATTCAATTACAAACTTGAATTGAATTAATTATATAATGGACCTATGCATTAATCAGATTCATAGCCATTAATCACGTTTATTAGTGGTCTTCAAGCTGAAAGGCGATGTCTGGAGTCTGATTTCTGATTAAATAAGTTTGAAAAATATTCTGAAAACAAATTTAATTAAATTGTAAACATTTCTCTTCAAGTTTTTTCATCTAAAATTGTAGATATAGTTTACCAGGTGATATTTTTAGTTATCATTTATCGGTTTGATACATAGGTTCAGTGCTCAAGCAATATTTTTAATGAATACAGCAGCTTAATATTTTAGGGGAAACACACACACAAACAAATGTTTCTACATATGTATGGAAACATAGATTTTTTTAAATGTATTGAATAAATATTTTAAGTTTTTGTTTATAAATAGGACAATCAGAAGATCTCAACCATTACTTTTGTAATGCATTTGTTACAGAATAAAAGTATTAATTTGTACTGGAAAATAAATGTTTTTATTTTCTTTCTTTCTTTCTTTCTTTCTTTCTTTCTTTACATGAAAACATCAAACTTTAGATTTAGTTTTTATCACATGGTTTATTGTACTGGAGCTTTGAAAAATGCATGAAAAAATAGTTTTGTTTATATTGCGTTTATTTTATAATTATATAATTAAAAAAATCTACATCAGATTATTAAATATATAAAAATATTGGATAAATGCTAAGTTGTTTCAGTTTTTAGTGTTTTTTATCTTACGGTTTTTATCATCTTACTCATTATGTACCTTATATTTTGGCTTTTATAGACAATCAGTTCTGTTATCAAGTAACTGTTTTGAATGCACAAATGTTCTTTATTAATTGTACTTTTTATCATTGTAAGTTTGGTTTGAGACAGATTGCTTTAAAAAAAGAAGCTCTGAAAGAACTCGCATTTCTTTATTTATTGTCATTTTATTTTGTTTTATTTAATTCATTTTATTTTATTTTAATTATTAATTAATTATTATTTTTATTAATCATTTTAATAACATTTGTTATTTATTTTACAACAGTAAACATTACAGTTTCCTTCTTTCTGTTTTTTTTTAACCCAAACCCCACCCCAAGACCAGAACGTATTGTTAATTTTTATAATAGAAATTTATACAGGTGCAATAATTAAGGATTAATTATTGAACTGAACTGAACTGAACTTAAACACTAAAAAACTGAAATACACTGTTCCAGTTACTATGACCATTTATGTGAAGCTGCTTTGACACAATCTACATTGTAAAAGCGCTATACAAATAAAGCTGAATTGAATTGAATTGAATTACAGTATATTTCTTTTCTGATTCCTCAGTCTGATGCGAGTCCTGATCACATCTTTTGTTTTCCCAGTGTATGTATAAGAAGACAAGTCTTAAAGCAAGTTTAAAACAGGAAAACATTGAAGCATTACATTGTTTTATTTTGCTCTCTTTCCTTCTCATCCTTTCGTGCCTATTTGAATGTGTATATGTGTGCATGGCCGATGGGATCAAGAGGGTGGTTCTGTGTGAAATATCCAGTATAGTGAGTGTTTCTGTAGTCTGTTCTTGTATGTTTGAGATACAGAGGGCAGGTTTTACAGTACAGAAGTCGGACAATCACCACATGGCTGCTGTTAGAGGATAAATTCCACATGCAAATTCTCATCTCTTGGCTCATGACCTTTTTTTTCTCCTTGCAGCCTTCAGATTTTACTGACATGAAGAATAATTCAATAGGCCCTAATCATTTTTCTCAAATGCCAAGACTGGAACGAGGCCTTTTAAAAGCTGCTTAAAAGCCTACATTTGAAGCCGCTTTATAAGCAAATGACAGCCATTATGTGGTGTCTGTACAGGCTAGACTCCTGGAGTGTGCGTGTGTGTCAGTGTTGAGCTTTAACAACATCATTATACACGCTGAACAGAAATATAAAACAAGATCACAAAGAGATTTAGTGAGGACAAGCTTTTCGGGTTCGGGCAGCTGTAGTGAAATTGTACTTGCTAAATAAAACTTAACTTAAATAAAGCATAAGTGAAATGGTAATCCTGTATTAACAAGATAGATAGATAGATAGATAGATAGATAGATAGATAGATAGATAGATAGATAGATAGATAGATAGATAGATAGATAGATAGATAGATAGATAGATAGATAGATAGATAGATAGATAGATAGATAGATAGATTTTAAATAAACAATTTATATGTGTTTTTAAATTGTATTAATATGATAATATTTTTTCTTTTTTTTACCTGCATGAACTACAAATGTGTGGTGTATTATTTAATTCATTTGCGAACAGTATTTGTTATGTGGTTGGCTAATTTATTTTAAATTTTGAAACTCTTCATATACAGGAAATGTCCCGTCTTGATTATTTACTGTACATCACAAATGTGTTTCTTTTCATGTCAGTGTTGTGGCTTTATTTATTTTTGTCCTGGATGCCATTCCCCCAAAGAAGATGATTTTCTTTAGTTCTCTTCTTCCTCTGTGTCTTTTATCATAATTGTCATTTGTGTTTTTTTTTATATTGGAATATTTTCTTTGTAGCAAAGCCAAGCCGCCTCCCCAGATCTCCCCCAGTAAGTCCAGCGGTGGAGAGTTTTGTGTGGCTGCAGTATTTGCCTCATCCCGCTCCTGGTTCATCACCAACCCCAACATCAAAAGAGAGAAAGGTTTGACATAGCTTAGTATCAGTACATAAGCGTATTATTTAGATCTTTACTTACACAATTATATTTATACAGCTCTGGAACAAATTAATAGTAAACTTGACAACTCATTGGATGTATGATTTATAGTTGTAAAATGCCAATTTTATTTTGTCAAGTGATGATAATGATGACAGTTCTCACATATTTTGAATAAAAATGTTGTAATTTAGAGTTAAAAAATCACAAAAAGGTGTCATGCTTTCAGGCATGTTTCAGACAGTTGAGAATTAAGTATTTGGTGGAGTAACCCTTGCTTCCAATCACAACAAATGAAAACATTTGTTATTCAGCTATAAAAACTCATACCTGGTAAATCTAGAGAAGCTGAGAATTTGTGCTCCCTCTTTTTTAACCATAGCTGTATATATGTTTTGAATATTTTTTTTTTTCTGTTTGAGTTAAACCAAAAAAAAAAAAAAATCCACAATAAATGAATAAACCTCCTGTCGATGCTCTTTTCTAAGCGTGAATCCGGTGTAGAGAAATTGTTTGTCTTTGAAAGAATTCTGAGGTCATTTTAAAATATCTTACAGTATCCTATCCTTTAATAACACTACTTTTCTTCTCTCTTAGATCAGTCTCGCCAGGCGGTTGTCGAATCGCTGTACATCCTGAGTTGTTACGGCAACCTGGTGGAGCACGTTTTGGAGCCTCGACCAATCAGCACGGCCCAGAAGATAAGTGACGACACGCCTTTGGAGCTGAACACCTGTCCGAGAGCCTGTTGGAATCTAGCCAGGTCTTGCCCCGCGGCTCTCAGCACCACACCTATTTACCTGCTTTTACACTTCACCTTCAGTTCGACAGAAGCACCTGACACAACCCGCTGCAGTCATATCATTTACATAAAACAACTTATATGGCGCCTTAATGAGGGCAAGCAAATGATTAACGTCATGGCTTGTCACCAACCCAGACGCTGAGCGCAACCGTAATGCAATAATGCGAGGAAAATGGAAACAGGCAGGGGTTGCTCTTAGAATGGCTTTCTGATCAGATTGTACATGTTAAATGAATGTATGTACCGAGCTGTATAGCCTGTTCAGCCCCCCACATGAGATGAGCCAAATGGAAGGTCCGCCGGGCTGCAGAGAGTTGGAGTCCATTATAGCTCAGCTGGAGACTGTTATATACATCTGGCCCTTTGAAATGCGCTTCCTAAATTGATTTTTGTGTTTGTTTTGAGTAGGACACCGCAGTGGAATGAGCTACAACCACCTTTCAACAGCAACCACCCCTTGGTGCTGGCCTCGGACTTTGTGCAGTACTATCAATACCTCCTGGCTGGATGTAAGTTTGTGTGTTTGTGTGTGTCTCAGTGGAGATGTTTGTTTTTAACTCTTTGGTGCAACATAACACAAAAAACAAGCACACAAATGAATAACATACTAAAAGACTTAGATCTTAAATATGCAACAAGGTTGTCAAAACGTTCCTTGTTCACAAATTAAAAATGAAGTTTTATAAAGCAATGCCAGTAGTTGGCGCAGTCACTTTGTGAATAAACACTGTAGGCATACATCCCTTTTGTTCCCCACTATCTTTAAGCACTCATGCCTTCAAAATGAACATATAATACATTACAATTTTCAAAAAAATTGTAGTGTACACTAAGATAGCAGTAGAAGTTTTTAAATAATGCATATTAAAAAAAAACATATTTAACAGTTTGGATTTTTAGGTCCCCTAAAATACAAATAAACTGCTAATGTCTAAAACATTTATTATAGCTGAAAACTGGTTGCTTAAACATCCCATAAATCTCTCATGTTTTCCTTTTTTTTCCCATCACAGCACAAGAAACATGCACTGTTAACTAAAAGTGCAGTGCAAGACAATAGCATACTAAAAAGTATATAATAGATTAATATACAACATTGTCCTCTTTCAATGGGCCCTACCATACAACCGGTGCGACACGTGTATTGCACGATTTGTTGCTATAGACCAGCGCAACCTTAATTTTCATTGTGTGCACCACATTTATTAAATAGTAAATCCATTTGCACCACTTTGTGGACTAATGGGTGTGCCGGTCTATAAGGGAGGTGTGTTAAGGTACATTGTTGGTACATTGTTTTTTTGAGGAACTGAAATAGACTGCACCATTGACCAACTAAAAACAGACTGCGTTAGTTATGCGCCTATGTAGGTCTAAACACTTAAACATTGCTTAATACACAGGATGTACAGCGACACACACGTATATCTACATGTAAAAAAATAAAGGATTAAAATGTTACAAAAATGTTTATTTTCTACATAAATATAGAAACCACTACCTCCATGCCTTCTTCATGTCTGGGGGCTTTTTCAGTTTGTTCATGACAATTTGCATTAGTATAATGTTATTATTGGCAGTATTATTTATTATATGCATATTTATATTTGTTTTAATAAAAACAAGCTTAGATTCACCATATGGTGCATAAAAATAGGACGTGTGTTTGGATATAACTCAGTTTTGCCATTGCCATTGCTGGAAATTAAACAATTAAACAAACCGAAAATAAATATGTAGGCTGATGGATGTATTCAGTGGAGTGTATACAAAACGCTTTCTTATTCACAAAAGTAAAGGAGTAAAGTAAAAAGAAAGAGACTGAATGGAGGAAGCTCATTGTTTATCCTGGTCCGTTTAAGTGGTTGTAGTGAAGCGTTCAGTTTTTCCAATAACAAAGTTCGCTATGTAAATAGCAAAAGCACTATAAGTAAACAAGCACTGCTTATTTTAACCTAATTAGAATAAAAACATAAATATTATCTTTTGATATGATGCACTTTAAGAGAAAAATGATGTCCATATATGTGGACTCATGGTCCGAATTTACATAAAACACTTTTTCCTGGCTGTTTTGTAATGCATATTTAACATAGAAATTTTTTTGAACATGTTTTGACTATCAGAGAGTAAAAACTTATTATTATTATTTTTTTCACATTTTGGACAGTTAAAAAAGTGTTTGGGACATTTCATATGCTGCAAAACAGTTGTGGGATGACACTGTATGTCTGTTACAAAATGTAAAACATTCAAAGTATTTTAAATAGCCACTTAAGAGCTGAAATTTGCTGTCCATTTATGTGGCCACTAAGCACTAGGAGGTTATAGGAATAGGGGATGAGACTCTGATTGGTTTAATGCATGTTATCCTCAAAACACATCCATAACCCATTAGGAAAATAAATACAACCCTGTTAGACCATGCGCCAGGGTGCAAACCATATTTACTTCATGTTTAAAATAGTAAAAGTGGATTTGGACATACCCTTAATGCTTTTGCATCATTGCACTTTAGACTTTGCGCCTAAATCATTAAAAGCAGAGACCTAAGGGATCCTCACAATGGTGAAATGTGCCAACTTCCCAGTAGTTAGTGATTTAACTTTGTAAGAAACACTACACACCTGAGAACATACTCATAGTTCTGTGGTCCTGCTTGGTTGTTTTAGTTGTATGCACTTCATATAAACATTTTTATCAAATGAATTTTTCTTTAGTTTACATGAAGACAGTAATGTTATAGGTCTCAAAACTTTGCATTTTAAAACCTAGTTGCATTTTTTTTTACTCCGAAATGCATGATAAACATATTAAAATGATATTAGGTTTAGTTATTTTGGTTTAAAATAATGTTGTTTAAAGGCCCCCTAAATCTCTGATGTCGAGTTACTTTTTGAAAGGTTGCTTGAGCCGGTTTTGTTTGATGTAGTAGTTGGCGAAGCGCTTTTTCTTTCTCCAGTGGTGTTGTGAATCAGGGCTTTGTCACTCGATAGTACAACCGTGCCCTGAAACTCATCATAGCGCCAAATTAACCCAGCATTCAGATTAAACCAATTAGTGTGGTTTTAAACCCATGTAATTTAATAACAAGTGCACAGAGAGCACAAGCACTTTGGGTTGACATATGAAAGGCAGGAGAACGCAACTCGAGGGCAGCGAGCTCACGGATGACCACACATCTAATATATCTTGAATAAGTGAGCATTGTTGCGCTAGCTGGATAATCATAAACATTAATGAGTAATTTGCTGTCCGGGTCCTTCAGGCCAAGCTTCACATTTCTTCTCTGCCACTAAAGCCCGAGCGCTCAAGGCCTAACGGGTAGAATATTCTCCAGAAGTCGGTCTAATCGCAATGCATGTGTCAGAGTGATGAAATAGCCAGGCGTGAGCGGTCATGGCAGCGGATCTGTGGGGATTTGGTCCACCACGGGGCAAAGAAAGGCATAATGAGCTTGCTCAGTGTATTAACGTTAATGTCTAATTAAAATAAACTGCAGATCTTTTTCTCATACATTTTTGTTACAGCTTACTCTTACCAACCTGATACTCAGATGTGCATATGCATGTGGCCGTGTTTGACCAGCGCTCCTGGCTCTAAGTGTGCTGCGTAGTTCACAGTGTGCCACCTTGGATTGCTTGCTGCTGTTTGTTGTGCCCTGAGCAGCAAATGCTTGCTTATCTAATGTGTGTTGTATTCATTTAACATAGTTTTTGGTCAAAGTTATGCACATGTATACATACATACAGTACAGTATGTACTATATATATTTTCATACACTCATATGCATTGCTTATTATGTTTTTGTATATAATATTTTATAGAGTGCATTATTTTGGACATTTAAAGGTGCTGAACGTAACTTTTTGAGTCTTCTAAAGCATAAAAAAAACTATAATATGTTTGCAGATATTTAAAAAACATGCTAAGTAAACTTTCTTGTTTATCTGAAAAACAATGCTAACGGCAGTTATTCTGCTTTGAAAATGTGAGTTACGTGCTTGAACGGCTGTCTTTATTTTGGTCCCTTTAACCCGCCGAATGCCAGTTTAGCCAATTATATTTTAGCACCCCGGGTTGCCTCGATTTGATTCATTCAGTCATGAAGGCTCTCAAAGCCTTCAAAGTAAACATTAGGTGAGCACATTTGCAGTGATAAGCAGTTTGGCTATTTGCACCAGATGCAACATGACAGAAATTTAAATACAGCCATTCATAAGGACATTATAGTCACTACTCACTGCATTACAACAAAATTTTAGGGTTTATAATCAAATTAATACATATTAAACTTTTTTAAAATTATTACATGTACATTTTGAATCACTGATATTTGTTGGCTTGCATTGAGTCACAGTTCTAAAGTTCAATTTCAAACAGTTTATTTTATTTTCAAGACCTGAAATAAACTATCTGCTGCTGCTTTCAGTAGTATAGCAATAAATGGCATGGCATGGCATTCAAACTCTCATTATTATCATTTGACACTGAATAAAGCACAAGAGGTGTACCTGATGTACCCTTTCTGTTGCTTAGCTGCAAGAAATAGAAGCCATTTCTAAAATATAAATTTCAGGTATTGGTTAGGACAAAAACTTTACATATGGAAATATTCCTTCTATCGTGTGCCGGTGCTTTTATTTAGAACATGATTTAAATCAGCCTTTGTTGGTGTTTATCAATCTGGCAACCTGCTCTTGCATGTGTTTTGAACCAGGGGTGCAATACCTAGTTCAACCACTGGGTATCAAACGTACATACTGCACCTTTAATTTAGTAAATTTTATTCTGAATGAACATCTTTAGTTGATGTAAATATCATTTTAGTTACTAAAATAATAACAATACAATATTTGATGGAATAATTGAAACGTTAACAAGCTGCTTTGATGCAGCTGATATTTATTTATTTATTTGTTTATTCTTTTGTTGATTTATTTATTTAATCTCTTCTAAAATACAGTAATGATAAAACTGTTGTTTGCTCATTGCATTGTGTAGCAGCAATACTAGCAACCTCTCGTTTATCTAATGTACATGTTTTTATAAAGACGACAAATATCTAATATATTGAAAAAATGCAAATAAAAAATACAACAAAAAAGGATATTAAAACATGTTGGTTAAAAAATATTTTCTTAAATTATTTTATTTTAAAAATATATTATTATAAAACTTAATATATTCATATTAATTCAGTATATTTTTTATTTTAACAACATAACCTGACTTCAATATCAGTGAATTTTTTATAACACTAATTTAAAGCATTTTAAATACATTTCTAAGACTTTTAAAAAAATTTATTAATTAAAATAATATTATAATAAAAAATGTCCTTAACCTCCCCCTCATTAAACTTTGACCAAAACTAGTAATTTCTTATTAACAATCATATCCATCAATAACTTCATTGATGAGCTGTTCACTGGGTAGTACAGCTGCTGCAGACAGGAAGTGATGCGTCTCCTTCAGCGATCAAACACAATGAACCCTTACCTGGGTG